AATTGGAAGTCAAGGGAAAGCTGTTCATCAGCATCACATGAGCCCATAGTTGGTCCGTGTCTTCAAGAATGATCCGGGTGGGTCTCAAAATAGAGGACCCTCCAAATGTGTGGTCTTCCTTTTGTCCCCATCAAAAACAACTCCAAAAAAGTACGCTCAAAAAAGACACACACCCATCCCAGTGACGGGGACCATGATTTCCAGGGGACGGGGGTTGGGCGTGTGCCGCAGAGAAGAACACCAACGGTCTTCCGAGGGCACAGGTCAAGAGTGAGACGCCATCGCACTTTTCAGTGCGCCCAAGTGGCCCAGTGGTTCTTGTTGCGTCGGGTTCCCCTAAACTGGGACGCTGGGCAAGCAACATCATGATACCTACTTTACTCGTGGGCCTTGCCTCCTTTTGGGGGAGTCTATGGCCTCTTCATTGAGTGTGTTTCAGGACAAGCTTCTAGATTCCTAGCGAGTTTCTCCTATCAGCAAGCCTACCATATCTGCAGGGTTTTTTCCAGGTACTCTAGGTCCTGGCTTCGAACCAAGAGGCTTAACAGGTTGCGATTAAGACTTGGGGATGGGCTGAAAGCGAATCGGCTACGCCACCTTTTTTTTTTGACGCTTCGGCTTTTTATACTTTTACCGTATGCCCAGATCGGCGACGTGACTCTGAGGGTTGTTTGGGGCAGCTTTTCGGGCGGGGAAAGGAGGGCTCCAGAAAAATCCGGGCGCTTAGTGTGCCAAGACAAGGAGATCCATGTGTTCGAACGTTTCCAGACGAAAAAAATCGACACCCTGGAAACTCACGTCTTCAAAGGCCCGGCCCCATATTTTTTTGTGTGGGGGGGATTTTACATGGAGGCAGCTCTTACAGGCCTGAAATGGACCTCCCAAAGTGTAGTCGCTTGTTGTTGTCCTTGATGAATTCTAAATCCTTGAAGATTGCTTGCGGCATAGTTGAGCTGCCAAAAATAGGTGTGATGAACGCATTTCAGGCATATTTGGATACCTTCGTTAGGGCCGAGCCAGTTTAACGCCAACATATTTTGTTTGAAGGTAGGGTCTTGCATGGACAGGCATCCAACGTTTGGAGACGAACGCATCCAAGTAGCTGAATTGAAGCGCCGACGTTTATGAGACCGTCCCGAACACACACTTGCACTTCCACGGGCAGTCCAGATTGAAGTGGCTCTGGGGTAAAGGCAGGCTCAGCTACTGTCGACCCCGGATGAATCAACCCTTGTCAATTGTTAGGCGGGCGTTCCCGCAAAAACTGTCGGATCCCTGGATCCCTCGAAAAAACGGGACGCCCCCTTTAATGGCTCAGCAGCTTCGTTCTCACGGGGGCTACTCAGGCTGCATTTTCAGCACCTGACTGTTCCTGGATTTGATCACGGCGGCCTGTCGAAGATCCTTTTGCCCTGTGCCCTTTCTGAATTCAGCTGCGGAGCCGAGGGGAGTTTGGCCGTTCGGCCAAGAGGCGTTAGCCATGCCTGTTTGCCTGTTTGCGCTTGCACATGGGCACTTTACACGGACAAGCATGATACTGTCGACCTAGATTGGTCGCAACCAAAAAACGCTTGCCACTAAAGAGGACCCTGAGACTCCCTGGACGAATAAACTTGGCAGATGAACAAAAACGATTCCAGCTAAGTGAGACACCCCCCCCTGGAAAGAAAAACAAGCAATCGACTGATATATTTTGACTAAACGGGTCCGTCTTGTTGTGAGGGTACCCCTTTTGTGTGGGTTTTAAAAGGAAACCAACAGGAAAGCCACCATTTTGGGCCTTGGATTTGGGTCCCCTAAAGAAGACCCACGATGGCCTTCTTTGGGTTTCGTAGGGATTTTCGTGGCGGTCGCAATGGCTGACTGCAGCAGGATGGAGCACGATCGTCATGTGACCTGCTGGTGCGATAGCTCAAAAGGAAACCACAGGGGAGTTTTTTTTTTTCTCGATCATTCGTGAACTCTTTGTGCCATGCTGGATCCGAAATTCGCAGAAAGGGAGCCGCAAACATGTAGATTGGGAAAAGCAGAACGCCCATGGAGTCTCCAAGGACTCCGGAAACAGGTTCTTCCAGCTCAGGCTTGGGCTTTGGATGTCCAAGACAAACTCTTCGTTCAGCCGGGCGAAGTTGGCGCTGGAGCTTATGAAGCAGCAACCAAAACGACACATGAATCAAAGCTCAGATGACCCCCTCGGCATGCTCCGGGGAGAGCGGCTGCCTGCAGTGCAGGTGCAACTTGTTCGCGAGGAGATGCACAGCTGATCTGGTCCCTATTCGGGTTTACGGAGATATGTTCATATTCAATATGTTTAAGGTTCAATACATGTGGACCTTTGCTTTGGGGGGGGACCTGGTTCCCTAAAAGTGGTTGCATTTTGAGGGGTTCTCAAAATGGCTTTCGCCCACGCGGATATTCTTGAGGACTTCACTTTTATGGACCCAGATGGATGTACCCCTGATAAAAAGCTGATCAATCCAAAATTCAATGCCACTTCGGAGTCTAGCACCTTGCAAACCAGGGTTTGGGGGAGTCGTCTGACCGCATTATTCCCAAGCTGACATTGCTGACGGGTAACCCCCCTCCCCCGCCCCCCTTTTTGGAGGGGGAAATACAAATGAAGGCCGCCGATAGCGACGGGCAGCTCCAACAGCAAGGAGGTAAATGAGCTCAGGTTCCTCAATCTTCGGATTAGTTGATTGGCAGTTTACCATCAATATTGGCGTCTTTTGGGTTTCCCAACAAACAATGCTAGGGGGGAATTTTAGTGATCAGACGCTAGAATTACGGGGTGAGTGCATATTTTCATTGTGCGAGTTATGGTGGTTGTGCAGTTCAGCTCAGTCATTTGTCACCACGAATAGCCCCAAGATGGTTGGTGTTGCTCTGGTTCCCCTTGAAACTCCCCCAAAAGGTCTTCAAATAGCGTTCCTTCGATTTTAGAAGCCCTATGCCCTCAAACAGCCGGGACTGGCCAAGTTAGGACCTCACTCCCTGAGTTGAAATCCCCAAGTTCGGTGACGTTTTCGGAAAGCCGAGCCACGGTTCCGTTGCCGCGCGTGTTTTTTTTGGTTTCACCGGGTATAGTATCACCTGTGCTGACCGTTTGTAGACCTTTATATTTGTAACCCTGTAGAACAGTCAATGCGTGAAACGGGCGATCAACAACCTCACACTCGTGTCCAAGCGGGTGTCCAATGCCTCCCCCCCCTTCCCCAGCCTGCTAGTTGGCGGGTAGTAAACTCCTAGAGCATGGTTTTGGTGCTTTCCCAATCCAGTCTCTGCTCACAATGTACATGAGGGTGCCGTCTGGACGCTAGCCCTGATTTTCCCAAACCACTTGCCCAACGGCGCCCTGTGTCTCCTTCGGCTTCAGCACAACGCAAGAAAGCGCAAGGTTCTTGTTCCATTGGGAAGCAGCGGGCGGGACACCTCGAGCGTGGTTTCTTCGCGTACTCCGCTTTTCTGTTCAGGTCATCTCCTTTCGGGCGGGCGTGGCAAGACCCGGGCCGTCGACGCCGGGGGAAAGGCCCCGGCGCAGACCACTGCCGTCAGGCAAACCTCCCAGCGCTCAAAGGTTGTCGCACCCGGCTCTGGCGGGTTGCGCGTGGGGAGGCGGGTTAGGCGGCTTAAGGGTTTGCTTCGCCAGGCGGGCCAAGGTTCGGCCCTCGACAGCTTGAGCAGTGCAGACTGCTGCGGTTCCCGGACTCGACTTCGAGTTTGATGGGAAGAGACATCGGTGAATGTTGCCAACCAAGCCCTGGGCCGGGCCTTTTTGTTTTTTGTTTTTCTTTTCGAAGAGCCCAGGAAACCCAGGACCATATCCACCTCAGAAACCGTCGTTACTGATGATGCCCCTGGAAATACGGATTCCACAGTAGGTCTTCCAGGGAATCCGATTGATAAATTCCGGGCCGACCTGAGGGTTGTCAAGCTAAAACGGGCCTTCGCACCAAAATTTCAACGGGGGTTTCAGAGGAGACCCCAGTATTTTTTTTTTTGGGGGGGGGTTTCATTGCGGGCCCTGGACCTTGTAATCTCTTCCCCCTATTAATAAATACGCCCCCCCCCCCCCCCCTATTATAAATAAATCCCCCCAAAAATGTGTTTTTTTTTATTTATTTGTTTATTATTGTTATTAATGGGGGTCATTCATTAATAGGGGGAGGATATTATGTTGCAACTTCTGTCTTAGGCCGCACTCAGCTTGCCGGCGAGGGGCGGAGCGAAACCCGCCAGAACCGAGGAAAGCCTCGCGGAACGGCTGGTTCTGGACGGAGGGATGCAGCGGGGAGGTCGTTTAGCGCGAGCGCTGAGAGGGCTGTTTGGTCTTTTTTGGGGGTAGTTTCCACTTCTACCTGGTTGAACAAGGATTTCAAGCACGATATAAACCTTGATATCCATCTATAAGCGAAAGTTCACGGGATTTGGTTGCTCCGCTCAACTCGGCTCGACTTCGAATCCTCTTTCCCGGTGCTTGTCTTGGCCAGCCGCGAATCCGCGAGGCTCCAGTGCCATGCCGCACAGACTCAAGTCGGACTCCTATGCGAGCAACAAAACGCGCATGGCAGCTGCTTATGTCCGGTTCGTGAATCGGACATCGTTTGCACGCGGGTGATCTTTTGAGGGTATTCTTGAAATTCTTGGTTTAGAGAGAATCCTGACTGCGGATTTGAATGTCCACAATGCGTGTCAAACGGCTGTTCCCGAATTCAACTCAGCCATATTTGTCACTCAAGGAGAGGAATTTGGAACCCCCGGACAAAGGCCTTTCATTTCCAATGGTGAGACATTTCCAGCCACACGACTCCTCGCTTATCAGAATGGCCACTCGGTAATTAGTCAAAAGACAAAAAGGAAGCTGACCATTTCAGAAGATCACTTGGACAAACCCCATGTCGCACCTTTTCGCTTTCCCCATGCCGAGTGAACATCTGCCAGAAAACGGCAACTTTAAACACGGAGGATCTTTGCAGAGAACCAGTCCCCATATCCAGCCCATGTGGGTGTGTCATGTTTTTGGGCTACCTTATGTTGACACCAAAAGGAACACCACCTCTTTGGGAGGTTTTTTCCAACAGAGACACAGGGGGCACACGTCCTCCCGTCTTTTGGCTCGGTTTGAGGCCTATCGCTTCAACCGCCGCGACCAACTCGAGCGCTTCGTGGACTTCCGAGTTGCCGGCGGGAGCCGAGGGGTTGGCTTGCCTCTTCTTGCGAGGGCTTGTGTCCCCCAGCTAGCTAGGTGCCCTTTTACCGTTTCTTTTTTGGGGGAGGGTTCCCCTACTAAAATAGACTACAGAAAAAAGTTGGTGCCCTTATTCTAACCTCTCTACAGGACCTAGTTGCTTTTAGGGCACCCTTTTTGTGGGTTGGTTTAAGGGAAGAAGGATACCATGGATCTTGGGAGATGCTTCAATCTGGAGAGACCCATGTGGGTGTGTCTTAAAATAGGAGAAGCCCTTAAAAGTTCTTGTTTCCTTTGGGTTTCCTTTAAACCAATCCCAAACAGGGCTCCTCCAGCATTCTGAGTGGTACTGTGTGTGATTATAGGAAGTTGGATCCGACAAATTGCGTTCTTCCAATTGGCTTAAACCACCTCAGAAAGAGTACCCCCAGAATCCATAGGATCCATATGGACAAATTCCATGTTTGGTCTGCTGGGACTCCAGTACTTTTCGTGGTTGCCTTCTTGAAAAAGTATTCCCTACTTAGAACGGGCGCCAGTTTGGTCGCCAACATCTCAAAAGGTGTAGCCAAGTGCCAAGCGCATTGACGCCAATTTCGGATCCATCAGACCCGAAGTAGAAAGGTGACCATGGCGACCCTTCTCATGTTGCTTTGCAAAGGGAAACCACGAAGGCCGGCGTGTCACCGGGGGGTCTCCAATTTTTGACACACGCCCAACACCAAGTCTTGCAAGGCCCAACTAGAGGGGCCCCAACTCGGTTTCTCGAGAGGTTCGCACCTGTGGCGAACTCGAGTGGCTGGCGATGCCCGTCCATGTCTTGGGGCTCTGATCGATGATCTACGCTGCCACAAGTCTGGTCCTGTTCGCATCGGCGGAAGCTGAGGTGTCCCGGGGTTCCGGAGCCATTTTCCTGGTTGGAACCCCCAGCGATTTCAATGGAAGCAGTGAATCGATCAACTTCTGATTTGGGGAGCTGCAGGGGTGCTCAGGGAGCGAGAACTGGAATGAGCCCTAAAAAAATTGGCCATCCCCGGTTTCCTTTGTTTGGGGACTCCCCTAAACCGGTTCATTCCCACCACTCCCCCCCCTCCACCACCCCGCTCGCACCAGGCCTGGATTTGCCCAAAATTTGGCCAGGGCCGCGCATTTTTGCCAAAATTTGGCCAGGTCTTTGAACAGGGCTCCTTAAAAGATCTCCATTTTGCGACCAGCTGAAACATGTTGCCTTTTCCACACCAAAATAAAGGGACACCACCATTTACAAGTTGCAATGTTCAGGTGGTTTTCATGCATCCGGATCCCCGTTGAAGAGAAGGACCCTGAAAATGAGCAAAGGCACAGCGAGAAAACGCCCCGTGGCTCGGGCGCCCGTGAACTCCGAGCCGCAGGCCCTGGACATTTTCCCGAAAGTTTCGGAGGCCGGGTGCGGGCGGTGTCTGGCGGCCTGGCGGAAGTGGCCCGGACGCCCAGCTGGTGGGGCTGGCGGGGCTGGCGGGGCTGGCGATTTTTCCCGGGGCTGGTCGCATGGAGGGCCAGTTGGTGGGGTTTCAGGCGATGCTGTTCGCTGGCCCCTTTCTTTCCTTTGTTGGTTGTATTTTTTCCCCTGTTTTTTTTTGGGGGGGGGGAGTCGAGGGTTTTCTTGGGTTTAGTTTTTGGGCGTTGGCTTTCGGGATTTATATCTTGGATAGGGCACTTCTCTGAGAGGGAATCTAAGTTGAAATGATTGCGTGTGGGAACACACGCATTGGTCTCACTGGCTATTTTTACGCCACTGAATCTCTGGAAGCTATGACACTTCTGGACTTTACGCTGGGATTCCAAGAGTTTTGGGGTGGGCAAGAGGGTGAATTATATCATTGGCCTTTGCGAGCTCTAAGATAAACAGATTGACTTTCCGTTTTGGGAGAATTGTTTGGGGGATCATGTAGTTTAACCCCACGACCGCTTTGCGAAGGTGGGAATCATGTTGACCCATTTCGGCCATTTTAGACACCCCTTGATTTTGTGGGCTTTACACCTGGGTACATCGCTGGGAATTCGGATGTTCAAAGGTCCATACGCCAGCGTGATAGTTTGATTTGGCAGCAGATTCCCACGTGGGCCAGTCAAGGGATGGGTTGGACTTGAATTCGCCATTTCAAGCAGCTAATTCCTTTGGCCGAATCGTATGGGGTCACGTCACCGTCTCAGGGTGTCCCTCCCTTCTCGTTGACCCAAGAGGTTCGGTCTAACATGGTCCAACAAAGTGGTCTCAGCGGTCTCCTCGAACCGGGGTCCAAGGCTTGGAGGAACCCGATGAATCTGATTGGCACGTTTTGGGCGGGTTTTTCAACAAAAAACCAAAGGAAAAAACAGACGCCACTTGGGGAAGCCCTACAAAAAGACTCACCAATATGAAGTTGAAGGCCTTTGCCGTAACGGGTTGAGCAACAATCAGTTGGTACATGGAACCCGGCCCCAGTTTCTGGGAAATCTCCATGCGCTAACTGAAGTATGCTAAACCTCGGTGCTGCCTGTTGTACAAACGTCGCTGGAGCAAAAAGCAAAAACAATCATCCATCGGGGTCTGGTTTGGTCTGCCACTCGCCCGTGAATGACTTTCAGCCCATGCCCAATTCCATCCCGGGAAGTTTGAGCAATGGCATGACCATGAGCATGACCATAGACAAACATCTTGGCCAGGAACCGGAACCCCCCATGCGCCGAAAAGCCCCGGAAACGTGTGTCCTCAACGACATCGTGGTGGGTGGTGCACACGTCAACAAGATTTATGCAAAGACGCCGGACATGGCGGAGCAAGCGCTACAGGAGATGTTCGGCATGGCAAAGTATGTCCCTCCATTGGAGTCGACTTCCATCAGGGAATCTGTGCTCGAAAGCTCCGCAGTCCGCCAGCGAGGCTCACTGGCTATGGTGCGTGTATATATATATATATGTATATATATATATATACACCCCACTTTGACGGCACTCCCATCATCCAAGCTTCGTTCGATCTGGCATGACTAAACAATTGTCTCAGGATTCACAGCCATCCACAACGAGGCAGGCTCTGCAACAAAACTGGCTTGCGGCTACTGGCCCAGACAGTGAGCCGACGTCGCCTGTGGGAGAACGGTCGTAGCATGCAAGTCGCCCATGGCACGAAATGACATCTGCACGATGAAGGTCTTATGCAAATCCATGGACCTGTTGATCTCTCTCTCTCTCTCTGATTGAGGGCACCCTTTTAGCCAGAAAAGCCACCACTAGGACTTGGCACATGCCCTGGTGGTCAGCCCACGGGTGTTTTCGTGCCTGGTCGCCTGGTTTGGCAGCTGAGTTTGACTTGGGGTTGGTGATGGTCGTCCACTCTCAAGATTCTTGACGGGGGGAAACACGAAGGGAGCCGTCTCGGCCCTCATAAAGAGTTTTGACCATGGCCGATATGGGTATGTATCAAAGTTGGGCAACCCCAAAAAGGCTGGTTTTCTTCTTTGGTGTTCCCGTTTGCACCAACCCCCACAAAAACGTACCCTCAAACAACGACACGCCCATATGGTTCTATGAATGGGGTGGGAGATCTCACTCATCCGCGCGAATCGCAGAGGCCGTTGCCGTGGCAGAGGAAGAGCGAGGCGTGGTGAGGGATGCGGAAAGCCCATACGAGTGGCACCGGCCCGAAAAGAGAAACGGTGAATCCCCCAAAACACGGCATCTTGTTTCTACCATCACTGGGCTAGGGAGAGAAGCATTGGATCTGGGAAATCCGCAGCGCCAAACTTATGTGGTTCAATTGTTCAAGCCTTGAAAGTGTTTGGGAAAATGTCTTTCTTTCTTTTTAAATGCCCAAGGTTAAACCTTTGGGTGCGGGCAATGGGCACCAAGATAGCTTAATGGGGAAGTCAAACTTGTTGGACTTGTTTTTTGGACTCCCCGTACAGGCGACGCACAATCAGATGTTCCGGGCCACCCTCCCATCGCTGCGTTCACCCGTTCAACAAAACGAGTACTCTCCCATCCGCTATCATGGAACCTGACTGGGAGGTCCTGGAAGACCATTTTCCTTCAACACCGACCCTTTGGTGGTAGGTTCCATGTTAGTGGACAAAAGGGCAGTTTCTCGATCAGATTAAACTTCAGGGGTTTGGGACGAGGCGTTGGAGCCACACTATAGCCACAAAAACCAGACCCGGGGTATGGAAAAAGGGTAATATGTACGTTCAAACCTTGCTAAGGATGTTCAAAGGCCCATATGTTTAGTTGTTAATCTATGTCATTTCACTTTTGTCCCATGCCCAAGGACTTTTCATTTGGGTTCAAAAATGGTTGTGCATGTAAACCCCATGAAGGTCATCCCCCTCCATATACCCCCCGAAAAAAAGTCCAATTGACACTCACACCCACATTGGCCAAGCAGGTGGACCATGATGCTACTGTTGCCAGGCGAAGCCTGGCAGGCTTCACGGGCTACGCGCCCGTGAAAAACTGGCTCTTGGTGTCTGGCGAGTTTTTTTTTTTTTTTTGGCCTAGTTTTCCTTCAGTGTCCCATTGAAAAACAGTGCCAAACAAGCACCCTCGCCATGTTTATCACCACCGTGCCGGGCCAGCTCCTTGTCAGGTTGGGCAAACTTTGTTACAAGCAGACTCTGGGGTCTGCAATGGGTGATGAAGATGTTGAAATGGGTATGTCAAAACAGGGGAACCCCAAAAATCAGTGGTTGCCTTTAGGTTTCTCTTCAAAACCAATCCAAAAGGGTACGAACTCCAAAAAAGACTCCCACTGCCTTCGCAAAGAGTGAATCGCACCGATTCGAAGCGTAAAGGGGGCGATTCTTTTGCATCAGGCGCACGCACCGGCGAGACGGTGGTTCTGGCGGCTGATCTCAAATCAGCGGAGGAAACTCAAGCCATAAGTGTCATTTATCAGGTTTGTTTGGTTAGAAATTGACGGCACTGGTTTAGATAGGCTTTATTCCATTTACAGGGCCATCTATTTTCCCAAAAGGGCACCTATGATCAAAGCCTGATTGTAGTTGGATGTTCAAGCTGCTTATTGAGGAGGTTACAACCAAGGTTCTGATCGGGCTAGAGCTTAGTTCCCGTGCGGTTGTAACCAGCTTTGACCATCCACTGACTTCAGGGTCTCTTCGGGCTACCAAGCGTTTCCAGATTGCGCTGCGGCTACTTAAGGACTTCACCCTTGGAGGGGGGGGGTTCCTTGAGGCGTGTGGGGCCTCCTGGTTCCATAGATACCACGGAACTTTTGTAGCAACTTTTAACTTGCATACCACGGCTTCACCCAGAAACATATATACATTTATCGTTACCCTTTGAGAAAATGGCGCAGATTTCAACGGCATGGATTGCATGGTCAGAGTGATGAGGCTGACTTTCATGGTCATGGTCCTGGTGATTTGGGTGACTGCGTGGTTTGAGGGATAGGGTTTCTTGTGAAGTGTGTGTGTGTGTGCAGACAGACCCCTGGACTTTGTGGAAGATCAGGGTAGGCAAGAAGGTTCCTTCCGACCTTGGTGGGTCTTTGGCTCCCTACATGCGATGATTTTGCTTGACTCTGTGGCTTGGATTGGCTGCATTTAGACCTTGAGTCCTCCTGATCAAATGACAACCCCTAACCATGCCAACCCATGTGAAGCAAAGTCGCCGCATAGCCATTCGGATTTCCCCACAACTTCTGGTGGTTCCTCCAAAGATGGCAGCCCTCTTAGGTCAAAGCGACACCAAAAGGACATCAATCCATTTTTACAGCACCGCTTCCCATTTTGCGAGGACACCCCACGGCCGCCGTTTCGTCTCCCCCGATTTTTTTGGGGGCCCGGACGCTTTTCCGCCCGGCGTAGCTGAGGTGAACGAGGCGCTCTTCGCTTTGCTGAGCTCCGCGGAGGTGGTGCAGCCACTGGAGCTCGACGACGGCGGCGAGTGCGCAAAAAAAAAGCGCGCGCCAGGCGAGCGCCGAGCGCTCTCGCTCTTGAGGCGGCGATAGATGGACTCCTGCCGGAAATCAAGCAGGGTGCTGACCAACTGAAAGGGCAATTCAAAGGGACAAGGATAGAAGAGAAAGCTGGGCCGAGCCTTGGAGGATGTGGAGAGATGGTCAAGATGCGATGTCCAAATTGCGGATGAACCTGAAGGCTCCTGGCGCAAACAGCCCTAAAACCAACACATCCTTATACAAATGGCTGCGCACCTGCCCGCAGAATTCAGCTCAGACGCCGCTGGAATAGAGGTGGCGGGAATTCAGAGTGCTGGGACGCAGGCCTGGGCACGGCAGTGGTTCCAGGTTGCAAGGGATCCAAAATGGATCTGGCATCACCCTCCCACCAACATGGACCGCACCAATGGCCCTTAAAGAGGAGGACAGTCTTCCAGGGACGTCCTGACAGGTTTCATCTTAGTAGGTGGGAGGGAAATGGGGATTGGTATTTTCAGCTGGTTTCTCAAAACAAACCGAAGGACACCCCAAATTGTTTTTGGCAATGCAAGGGTGGGGAACCTTCCAAACAACAAAGCAGTTCCACTGTAGACTCTTACAACGTATTAAGGGGGGGAGTTAGACCCCATTGAGGCAGCTTCGCATTGTCCCTTTCTCTCTCTGTCTCTCCCTCTCTTTCTTTAAGGGCTCTCCATTAAACAATAGACCAACATGGAACACTAAGTTCACAGTTGAGCAGCGATCAATCCGCCTTGTACTCTCTCTCTCTCTCTCTAAAAGGGTGACATGCTCTTGTAATCTTACAGTTAAACACATTGGCTGCTGTCCGGTTGAATCTTTAACCTTCAACTTTTGGAACTAAGTTTGTTTTCCGCAACCAGCAGCAAGTGTTGTATGTGTAGGCGGCAACAGGCAAGCAGTAATTGAGGAGTTGCTCACCAATTTCAGTCGCTTTGCCAGGTGGAACGAGCCTACCCATGATGAAGGTTCCTCAGCATTTGGATTGTTGAGGAGTTTTGTTACAACGGTCCTCCTTTTGGAAGGAACGTCTGCTGGTTCAACGAAAACCTTCCCCCCCCCCACCTCGGGCTTCCCTGCAACCCTGCGACCCCTTGAAGGCGAAGAACACCAGAAGATGCCAGAAGACCCCAGAGCAAGGCTTCTGACGCCCCAGACTTTGGGTGTTGGTTTTGCCACCGATTTTGGGCCATGGCGCAGTTCTCCGCGGGGCACGGTTTCCTCTCCGGTCAAGACTGGCCCTCCTGTTGATCCGGCCTCAAGGCGAGAACCAAGGTGCCATGTGGGATGTGGGAGGAGTTCACGCTTTCGAAATCAGGCTCTGTGGATTGAAGATGCATTCATTACATAGATCATCTTAGATCAATCTTAGATCAAACTTCGATCAATCTCAGATAGCTCAGTCACCTTAGATGTCCCTCTCAATTTTATGGCCTCGTGTTTATGTTTGGCCCAACCATGTTGGGCTTCGGGCCCTACCGCTTTCCAAGGGCTGGCTGGATGGCTAGTCTTTAAGGTCGGACCCCCCGAAATGATTTGATGCTCCTGTTGGTTTTCCGTTAAAACCACTAAAAGGGGGGGGGGAAGGAAATTCCAACTGCATTTTTATTTTTTACTTTTTGTTGAACCCACCAAACAAGGGGCTGCCAACTCCCAAAACGAGGACAACCCCCCCCATCTATTTCATGTATCGGAGGGTACTCTCGGGGTGTTATGGAAACGCTTCGCCCACGCGAGACCATGTTGCGACTTTGCCTGCTGGGCCTTGTCGTGGCATCCGCCCATGAGGACTACTTCGCTTCGAGTCTTTTGGAAGAGGGGCTTGATTTGCGCGTTGAGTAGACCCCCAGCCGCTGGTCCAATTCGTTCAAAGGGAACCACATGAAGGGGCGGGCTTGTCCAGTCACACGAGGTCTTGGAACCAAGATGGCCGTAGGGAATAATTATGTGCTGCTCAACTGCGTGAGACCCTGAAATGGTGTTTCTCTTTCCTTGGTGGCTCCCAGCCATCCCCTTAACTTTTTAGCTTAGTGCTTAGTGCTTAGTGGGGTTTTCCATTTAGCCCACTAAAAGTTAGACTTTTAGCGGGGGATCTGACCGCCCAGTTTCGCTTAGACATAGTATGCATGCTTGGGCAAGGTCTACCCATCTCACCAAGGGTTTTTGTTTGAAACCGGCTTCCCAAGGTCCAGGGCGGTTCCTGTCTTGATCAGGTGGGTGACTCCTGGAGACTACTTGTCCAGGTCCATCAGGAGATAACATTAGTGCAGAGTCAAATGGCTGTGGCTCAAAAAACCGGAATTCCAAAATGGCTTGCCCTGGGAAGTGGAAACATGGACCAAATCCTGCGGTTTGCCCCTCCTGTTTAATTTTGATCCACACCCAAATCATTGCTCCTCCCACAGATGGCATGTTCGAAGCACGGGACATAACTTGTCTGGGTTCTCTGTGAAGCTCCCGGATCCTGGGGGATATGGTTTCTGTCAGATCCAATCGGGATCTCACCAAGGGAATTTGGCCAAAGAACCTGTGCCAATCGGGAATCTGACTTCTGAAAAGCTCTATGTTATGAAATATGGGGGGCAATCATGAGAAGCGGACAGGTTCCATGTTATCAATCTGGCCCCATGAAGTTCCGTCAAGCGTGATTTGTGCTTGATTCCTGCAGGTTGTCGTTCATACAGAATGTGTTTGGGTTGGCTCGAACCTGACATTTCCCGGCTCTGCAAAGTTCTATGTCAAGCAACGACCATGATCTAACAACCTGTCCCTGTTGGATATGGCTGTCGGCCGGGTTCCAGCTTAGTGATTTTCCACAACAACTTGAGTTGCTGAACCTTCGTTGCTGGGACATCCAAGGACATTTTGCCAGTACGGGGCCAGTCTAGTTTTAGAACCTTTTAGCCTCAGCTCCCACGTCATACAGGGGTGTATGTGCTGGTCTGAAGGCTCAGATTAGATTGGGAAGCTCAAGCAAAACCAGCCCTTCGGAGCACACCTTTTGGGAAAAAAAACACTACCAGGACCAAGGGGAAGGGCATAGTTCTCCTCGAAATCGGCATCGGGGTCTAATTCTTACGTGAAAGGCTATTGAAGACGGCCGGCCGCTCTGTTCCGCTTACAGCCTAGAACCCCCCCCTCATTGGTGGGCTCACCCGGTTGGGACATGATCTGTTGACGCTTGCTGTAGCAGGCTTGGGTGTGGCTCAACATAGAGCCCCGGCGAAGTAGGCAGGTTTGAGTCTTTAGTCTCATTCACCAAGGTGCCGTTTCTGTACATTTTGAGCCACAGCCACTTCTATGCTCCTGGAGTGCAACAGAGTTTGTGCGAGAATCGCTGAGGAGGACGCTGGAGGCCGGGAGCCCAGTGCTAGAGGAGCAGTCCGCCGGATCAATGCGAAGGCAACATGATTAGCATTGTAGTAGGTTTTTTAACCATGAAAGCCCTCCTCAATCCTTGGGTTAATACAGGTTGCTGGTGTGGATGGGTGGTTTTCAATCACTTGTGGGGCCTAGGAGGTTGATCTGGGATGTTCTTACTGCCAGATGGGTTTCGTGGTGTTTTTGTGACGTCTCACAGACTTCGAATTATGGATGCCCCCCCATTTTCAACAACTCAGATGGACCAGGAAAGACCATGATGTTAACCAAGGGGTAAGAGCCCCTGCTTACCTAGTCGTGGAATGGGTGTGCTTGGAATATTTCCCCAAAGGAAACCAATCCTGGCTGTCGACTTTTCAGGCGTCCGATTGCCTCACACCCAATCAATCGGCTGTGGGAAGGGGTTGATGCCTTCTATGGAACCTCCGAGTTTAATGGCTATGGGTCAAATTGAACCACACAAAAAAAGCAAAACAAAACCACAGATTTTAGTCCATCTTTCCATCTACCAGGGTTGCCCTGTTTTTGGGATTACCCTATGTTTGACTCACCGAATCAAATGTATAAAAGCCAAGTCTTTGGACGGCGCAAGCCATTGGCACCGGTTACAATTCCCATTCCGCAGCTTTCAGGAGGCCGTGCAGCTCAGGCGTCCCAAACGCAGTTTGTTTTTGTAAAATGTCTGACAGATATGCACCGAGTCTGTCATGGTTAGGTGAAATTTCGGTCTTCACTGGTTCCGCAAGGGGTGTCTATCTGCAACTTGAGCCCGTTCAAAAACATCTTCATATAATATAGGTGTGTTTCCTTGTGATGTGTGTGAGTGGAAAAGACAGGAAGCTCTGCCCATTCTAGGGCTTGTGCAACATAGACCCTTCAACCAGCCAGATGGTAGTCGTTTCCGCTGTTGTAGTGATGTCCCACCACGGATTTCGGAGAATCAAACCCTTTCAAATGACCCACGCTTGCCCTGGGACTTTGGGTTGGCTTGGGTTGGCTTGTGGCATGTTTTTGTGCTCGGTGTGCGGCTTTCGGGCAATCCCAACCAAGCCAACAGGCCAATAGGCAGAGGCTACGAAAGGGTCCCCAGCCCGTAGAACGAGGCACCGGGAGGCATCTGAGTTGGGCACCCGAGGGGCCACCTACTGGACTCGCCGATCCGCTCGCCGCTTCGGCCGAGGCGAGCTCCGGGTGGAGACCTTCCAGTGGCACGGGGGGAAGCGCGTGAGCAAGACCTTGCAGGTGATCAAGCAGGAGGCGAAGACCTGGGATGTGTCCAGTCAACGAATCGCGAACCTGCGGCACCTCCAGCTAGAAAACAGATGCCAATGAAATTGGCCAAGGGTTTGGCAGGATTTCCTGGGTGGCTCCCAGAAATCCATCCGGTCCCTTAGCCTCTTCAGCTTCTTGGTGCTTGGTGGTGGTTTCCATGTAACCCACTACAAGTTAGACTTTTGGCGGGGGATTTGAGGGCAGCCCAGGGCCCAGTTTTAGAAACGCCCCTTTTTGTGATTGGTTTTTGTGGGTTGGGGCCCGGAGCATCTTCTCAGCCAGAAAAGCGGGGGGGGGGGGGGGGAGTTGCGACCAGGGGGCCGCCAGTTGACAAAAACCCCAACTCAACGCCGTGCGACGGGAAAGTCCACGGGGTTGGTCCCTTCAAATCAGAGGCCAGCGCCTCGCTCGGCTGCTTACACAGATTTCGCTCGCAACGAATCCCAGGGCTGCAAACCCATTCAGGTCGGAGGGTTCATGCAGTTAGCTCCCTTGGGCGGCAAACATATGGCGCATGACCGCATGACCATTTTGGCATGTTGGGGCGGATGGAGCATCCGTTAACCACCTTTTTTGAGGTTCGCCAGGGGTTTCGACTGAGCCTCTGACCACCACAGCCATATGCCTTTCTGAGCCTTTCTGTGCCATATGCTTGACGCCCCTCTTGCTGGTGGTGGATCAAACCCCTGTGAGGTCTGATCGCTTTGGAGAGGAAAATCCCAAGGCGTTCGGCGCCTTCATTTGATTGTTCAAAAGCGGGCAATTGCGGTAGTTTCCTTTCAAGACCATGGATTTTCTTACTTCAAGTGGACCACACTACATGTTGATACGCGACTCAGGCGAATTGTGGTCAGATTCAGGGTTTCCTCTGATCCCTGCCCAAGCATGCTCGGCATCAACCATCATGTCGATACGCGTGTCTCTTTTTTCCATGTCTTTGAGCATGCCCCTTCTGGGGTTTGGGAGGGTAGACTGCAAGGTTGCCCTATACTCATATCAGGGTTGTTGTTGGGAAACATTTTACATTTTTGCTTATTGTGGTTTAGTGGGAAATCCCCACTTGGCTGCTAAAATTTGTTTTTTGCTCCCCTTCCAACGTCAACCAAGATATAATATATACACATACATATATGCACATGTACACAGGTGTGCGAGGCACATAAAGAATGTCATACATACGTCATGCATAGAGGTGTAGGGACCTTTGACTTCCTGGGGCCCAAACCTCAGTTTTTTTGTTTTTCCGCGGAAGAGCAAGACTTGTCCATTTGCGACGTAGCTTTCACAATCTCCCATTTCGGTTCCATCATGCCCCTTTCTCTGCACAGGGACTTGTGCCACTTGCTTCTTAGTTGGCGGATCTGAATGTTACTGTTTCCGTCAGAAGATGGGTGTTTCCAAAACTAGGGGCCCCAGCTTTGGCGGGTTTGAAAGGCAAGCCAAAGGGACAACCAGCAGTTTTCAAGATTCCCCCAAATCTGGCAACATCCACATTCTCAGAGCCGTTCTTCGTTTATATATGCATATACACATATGTGTACATATATATATATACATACGTAGTACATATATATATATATATGTATACATATTTTGGGGGGGTCTTTGCCTCGGATTCCAGGAGGATCACGAGGACCACGTCTCCAAGCTCAAGGTGCTTGAGCCGGCGTGTGCCTTAGAATTCCAACGGGCGAACAAGCGCGAAGCATGTCTTGTGGCCGTTGGGCGTCGTTTTTGGGAGTGGACACAAGTTCCTGTGGTGCCGTTTTTGTCTGGTACTCTTTCACGGCATGGATCCTTGACCACACTTGACCGACCTGTGCGGCAACCCAAGATCTCTGAGCTATGTGCGGGGTTTGGTTGGGTTTTGGACAGACGCGGACAAGAAAGGGACACACCCAATCAGCAAGGAGAGGCCAACACTTTGAGTGGGTGTAATTCACGCGTAAAACTGGCTTTTTTTAGTTTCTGTTAGCAAGATGCCGGTAGCATTGCCTGGCTCTTGCTGTACAGCTCAAGCCCCCCCCCCCCCCCATTTTCTTGGTTTCCCACGCAGGTGCGAATTTTATTTTATGTCTGGCTTCCCAGCTTGTGGAACGAGTTTGGTTCCATTTCGGACCTTTGGAGCAACCCTCACACCCCGTGCAACGGAGTAGGTGTTGCGAGTGTACTGCTGTCTTGGGGACGAGTGACAACCCCAATGTCCCACCAGTGGGATGGCTTTCAACTTTCCGGTTTTCCCTTGGACAGGAACCTGAGCGGCTCATAGATGGGTTCTAGCTTACACAAGGACAATCAGGTACGTAGCATCCGAAAGGAGCCCATTTGTCAGAACCCACTTAGGGTTACCCGAAGTTTAGAGTTTGTGTCGCGCGGAGTCGATCTGCAGCTGCTTGGGTTCAGAAAGCTTCCTGGGAAAGGCGCGATGGCTTGCTTGCCTGGGCCGCAGAGACTCCAGTTGCGCGTGTTTGATTTTGAGGGTACCCTTCTCACCCTACTTTGAAGGGAATCCAAGAGCAAACCGCGATGTTCTAACTATTTGTGAGACACATACCCACTTTTTTTGGCTTTAGTTGGGCTTCCCTGAACAAAAGCGCAACCAACTCAGCGAAAGGGCCAAATCATCCAACGGTTGCGATCCGCTGCGTTGGAGAGAGACAACGGTTGCCGGAGTTGTCTGCCTCACCAAGTCAGAGCTTTTGAACGCTGCCGTGGGAGTCTGTCTCCAAATAGGGCATAGGGGAGCCGGCAATGGATCCTTGTTTTGTTTGGATCTTCGTGTTCTTTTAGAACAACCCCAAAAGTGTATTCGTCCCCTCAAGAGAGTCAAGAGAGGCACAGCGGTTTGTTCCACCTCTTTCATTAGATCAGGTGCATCCAGCGGACTTCAGCCTCCACCGCTCTAAGAAGAATTTCCCCACAAAGGGCTGGGTATCTATGCGAGAATGGCTGCGAGACTGTGATGGCAGAATCATCGCAGTCCGACCAGTGCTTTCCGGATCGTGATGAGGCTCCGTCTCAAACATGTCCAGTGGACTATGCGGTTAACTAGGGCTCGCCGCGTGGGGTCACAGGGACGTGTGAAAATTGAACCAGAACTGTGGGATTCGCTGGCTTTCATGTCCTGCGCAGGTAGCAGCATAAACTTGTATTGTGCCCCGGCAAGGCTGTTAGAAGTGGGGCCTGACTCCCCTGCAAATCGAACGGATGCATACCCACAGGGGCTGCCCCAAAGGAAATTCCCCCCCAAAACCGGGCGGGTTGTGTGTGTGTGTGTGAGTGAGTGAGTGAGTGAGTGAGTGAGTGAGTGAGTGAGTGAGTGAGTGAGTGACTGAGTGAGTGAGTGAGTGAGTGAGTGAGTGAGTGTGTGTGTGTGTGTGTCTGTGCGTCTGTGTGTCTGTGCGTCTGTGCGTCTGTGCGTCTGTGTGTCTGTGTGTTTGTGTGTCTGTGTGTCTGTGTGTCTGTGCGTCTGTGCGTCTGTGTGTCTGTGTGTCTGTGCGTTTGTGTGTCTCTGTGTCTGTACGTCTGTGCGTCTGTGCGTCTGTGTGTCTGTGTGTCTGTGTGTCTGTGTGTCTGTGTGTCTGCGTGTCTGCGTGTCTGTGTGTCTGTGTCTCTGTGTGTTTGTGTCTCTGTGTCTCTGTGTCTCTGTGTCTCTGTGTCTCTGTGTCTCTGTGTCTCTGTGTCTCTGTGTCTCTGTGTCTCTGTGTCTCTGTGTCTTTGTCTCTCTGTGTCTTTGTGTCTGTGTGTGTGTGTTTATGTGTTTGTGTGTTTGTGTCTCTGTGTCTCTGTGTCTTTGTGTCCGTGTGTGTGTGTGTGTTTATGTGTTTGTGTGTTTGTGTGTTTGTGTGTTTGTGTGTTTGTGTGTTTGTGTGTTTGTGTGTTTGTGTGCTTGTGTGTTTGTTTGCTTGTTTGCTTGTTTGTTTGCTTGGTTGCTTGGTTGCTTGCTTGCTTGCTTGCCGATGTCAATTTGCAGGGGAGTAACTCACAAACTCTCCATGCTGTCTTGCAGTGTGCTCTTCAGATTAGCCTGGAAGACTGTATCATGATATACTCTCCCACCAATCACGGAAGTCTTCAAGTGGTCCGAACACAGGAGAGAACTCCCCACCTTGCGGTGACGCCCCAAAAAAGCAGCCTTTCGAACATGTTCAAGCCCGTGCGTTGTTTCTTTCATACTGACCAAACCTGGCAGTTGGGAGGAAGGCCCTAGAAGTACTGAGTAACGCCACGTATCATGAATCAAAGGGTGGCTCGCTCGCATGCCGAAGCCTTGTTTGGAGGTAGCTCTCGAGGGCCGGCCGGTGGGTGACTTCACTTTCACTGGCAGCAAACCCTGAACCATTTGGTGGACCGACCCAAAATGGAGAGTGGTTACTAGCACCCCAGATACTTCAACCCTGGGAGGGTAGCAACATAAAACGTCCCCTTTGCCATGGCAGCAAATCACTACAGCAAAAATCACAAAAATCGGTGGGTTGCGGGTTAGCGACCCAAATGGGGAGTTTCAGCCCCCTTCGAGGCGCTTCTTCGTTTCGCTGGCGCTGGCGGCGGCCAGGGACCTGGATGCCTTCGATCGCCTGCAGGCGCGGAGCGCGGAGCTTGGGAAGCGGGGGCCGTTTCCCCCCACGGCGCCGGTGTCAAAACCCAGCGGGTTCCTGACGCCGAATCACACGGGTCCCGCGAGCTGTTTGGGCGTCTGTCAGTCTGTTCAACACCCAGCGGGTGTTCGGAAGAGTGCCTATAGGGTTGTAGCAGATGGGGTTGCAGTTGCATCGGTTTTTCTCCACACAAGGGCTTCCAATCAGGCCCCCCCAGCTCACAGACTCAAGCAAGAGTGCGCGAAGCAAGAGCATTTGGCCATGATTTGTTTAAATGTGGTAACAACCCAGCAGGGGCTTGCGCGTATCAGCCCCCTTAGCCCCCTTGTGAATGATGTCCAGCAAGGCGACCTGGCTCAAACGCTCAGTTGTGCTTACCGGCGGCGTCGGTAAGCGCAACCACAGAATAGACAGCGCGCCAGGGGCTGAGTATGTGCTCCCGACGGCTTGGCTGTGCTTACGGACGCCGTCGGTAAGCGCAACTGCCTGCTCTCACATGAAACCCGTCATCCATGCTCCGGGCTCTTCGACAAATGGGCCCACGGTGTGTGCGGCAAAATGCCTGCGCTTTTGAAGCTCTGGTCTTAGCGCAGCCCCAGGGGCACACACGCACATAAGTGGGCAGGGCTGATTGGAGGGCAGGGCTGATTGGAGGGCAGGGCTTTGTTTTTTTGCAACTCGCCTACAACCCCATCCACTACAACCCTATAGGACCTTTTCCAAGGTGTGTGGACTGCTTCTGTTCCTTTCAGAACCCTGCGTGCTGTTTTTGGCTGTTTGTGCGTTCCTGTGAAAACTCTGGGTTTTTTTGTGTGTTTCTGCTCGAGCAGGTTTTTTTTCTGTGTGTTTCCGTTCCATTCAAAACCGAGCTGGTTTTTGTTCTGTGCCTTTCAAAACCCACATTTTGGGTTGTTTCTGTTCCTGTCAAAGCCGAGTGTGTAATCCGTGTTTGTTCAACTTGCGTTCAACGGCCGGTTCCCCCAAAAATGCAACAACCGCATCCACTTGCAGAAGCAGTGCAAATAGCGGTAAAGCACGGTTTCCCCTTGTTTCCCTGCTTGCAACATCCACGGCCTTTCCACGTTTCCCACTTCCCTCTCTACGCGGTCGAGGTGGATCGTATTCTCGGGATGTTGCAGGAACGGTACGGGTCCCGGAGAAGAGCCGCAATTTTCCCATGCCCTCTTGGGGAAGCCTTCGTATTTTTTTGTCTGGGGCTCATATGAGTTGCCCATCTTAAGTCCAAACAGGGGCACACAACCTAATAGGGGACCTTCGGGGCGCCCCGGAACTCAAGCACCCGTGGTTTTCTCTAAAGGTGTCCCTTTCCCTAAGAAAAAATATGTAGAGGTGCGAAATCATTACAGCTTCTGATCCTATGACCCCTCAATTCGGTTTTCAAGTACATCCTCCATTCTACTTCTTGAGGCCCAAGGAGTCCCCTCAACCCAGCCCATGGTCACAAGTCAGACACAGCTTTCACGCCGTGGTGTTTCCCTCCGCCTGGGCTGGTCACTCGCCAGGTGAGCGCTCCCATGACCGTGGACGTGGTCACCGATGCCGCGACGCAGGCGGGTGGCTGACTTCGTTGGTGCTGGATCTGCATCTTTCTGTGAATGAATTCCCCCAAACGACAGCCCAAAGGGGAGAACCTTCAACAAAAACAAGTGCGTTATTTTTTGTTGGGGGGAATGTCCTGTTTGGTTGGACATAAAGGGATGTAAGGCAAAGCATTGTCAGGACCTCCAAGGTGTCTTCGAGGCCTGGGCCTTTGAACATTTGCAAGGTTTTTTTAGACACACCTTTGAGGTTCTAAACAGTCCTCTGGCGGGCTGAGCCCCCTGTTTTGACTGCAAGTCCGAAACACTGGGTTTGGTTCCCCGGCTCTACCGGCCATGTAGGCCGGCGAATTGGTGGGGTCAAAATCAGCTGAGTGACAAGATTGAGCATGTGGAAGGTTCTTAGGGCTCCTGTCCGGCGCAACCTTGGGATGGTCGTCTTGTTTTCCATGGCCTGTGAAGACAGCCTTAGGCCCCCGAATTATTGGTGATAATGACGATTATTATTATCATGCTCATTATTATTGTTTTCGATTTAAAGTCTCACACACTGGCCTTTTCTCGGGCGGCGCCATGTCTCACCAGGCCAATGTGGACGTGGCCGCAGATGGCCTCAACCTGGGCTGGACAGTGCAGTCAACAGCCCCTCGCCTTTCAGGATGTCCCGAATGGATTGGGGGTGTTTTTGTTTGTTGAGGGCACCATTTTTAAGATTGGATCAAAGCGCAAAAGGAACTTACCTCTTAAAAACACAACTTTTCAACTTTTTGGGTAACATGGGCTATATGTCTGTAAAAGATTAACTTTTTCAGGGCTTGGAGTTTTAAGGGGTAAGGGAACATTGACCATGTTGGGACCTATTTTTGACACATGCTCGCTCATGTGCCAATTGTATGTCGAGCTGCACGGTCCGATCTGACAAGGTACAAGGAGCGAAAGTCGTGATGTAGGTCCTTTACTTAGGGCTCTCTTGCCTTATGAGTTTTGAAGTATTGTAGACTCCGTCTCGGGCTTCTCAAAACATGCGAATTCGCTGCTTAAAACATCGCCATGTTTCTAAAGGACCATTCTTGGGACATGTTCAGGTGGACAATGTAAGAACCCGATGCGGAAGTCTGTTCAGGGTTGGTCTTGAAGGGGAAGCCACGAGGCAACCTCAGAAGGGCCCAAAGTAAATCCATTGAAAGTTGACGAGGGAACCCAAAACCAAACAAAAAGGCCACGTCTTTTCCGGCAGACGTCACGATTGGGGGAGAACGCCTCCCAAAAAATACCGGGATTTTCGTGTAAACGGGAAACCCTCTGGTCCACCAGGTAGGAATCTTGGGACAAGAACGGCAGACCGCTTACCTTTACCTTCAAATAGAGCAACAGTTCTTGTTTGGTTGGGGAAAGGCCCCTTTTGTTGTTTTTGTTTTTTTCTGTGTTCTTGTTTCTTGGCGCCTGCTCCCCTGAGAGATGTTTGGGTCCAATCCCAGTGGGAACTTTGCGCGGGATCACATCTTAGTCTTTGGCTTCTGACATTATTTAGTGGTTTGCCGATGGCCCCTGGTTCGGGAGAAAAAAGGGACCCGGCCCCAAGTCCATCCATTGCCCTTAAGCAACACTTGGGCTTCCGGCCGAACCGACCCACGCCCCCTCAGAAACTCCATGCAGAAATGCAGCGGCCCCTTGGGGACGACCGTCCCTTCGAAACTTTTTGGGCCGGTGCTTTTCCAGGCTGGTTGGAACATACGGAGCCGGGATCTCGAGGTTCATCGGCCCGGTGAAAAATGTCTCGGCCGAGGATGCTGGGTATGGGGTGCCTCGAAACAAGCAAGGCGATGTGTGTAAGATGGCTGTTAGCTTGTCTGACTGTAGGTTTAGGCTCTTATATTACTTTGCAAATGAACATGGTATCCACAAAAAGGGGCCCTATCCCAAGCGAAATGGATCTATGGTGGTTCAAGGGTTCCATGTCAACCCACAGAGCAAGTCCACCATGGGTGCTTTTTTTGGGAGCCAAACATGTGCTTTCCCTGTCGAAACACAGACCCAAATCATTTTCATTTCGCTTCGTTTCGCGAGGTAACCCCCATGACCTTCGGCCGGACCCTATTGCTGGGCATGGACGATCGGGCGCGAAGGCACGAACAGCTGACAATAGAGAACGTCAGACATGTGGTGCGTTTCCTTCTCTTTCCTTTCCGCCCAACAACCACAAAGGTGCCATTTTCCCCATGGCCACTGGGGGTCTGGGAAAACAGAAACTATTGATGAATAGGCTGGAAATCCACGACTGTTTTGTAAACGTCCTTTGCACAAAGCTACTCCTGGCAAAAATAAACGCCTTTCACAGAAGACATGCAAATTAAACCGCCTTTGGAACCCCAGGGTGCGTATACTATTTTGTTTACTCTCCTGCAAACACCTTTCGAGTATCCGCCTTCGAAAGGGAAGCGGGTCCTTTCGGGGTCCCCGGATTTGGGAGGGGACACCCAATTCGGAAAGGATCACAATTCTTTTCGGACCACGCCCATCCTGAAAGTTCATTCCTGTTTCGAGGGTCCTGTGATCCCTCTGAATGGTAGCTGTTTCAAGGGAAGCTTTTTTTCAGATAAACACAAGGCCAAATGGGAACCCATACCATGGTACGATGTCAGCCCATGTCATACTTGAGTGTCATTGTGTTGAGACAAATGCCATTGTCACACCGCCTACTTTTCACCATGGTTCTTGGTGCTTAAAAACTCCGGTTGGGGATACCTTGGTTGGTTGGGCTTCTTGGTTGGGACCCGGTAAAAAACAACGACACGGTGGCGGTTGCTTCTTCTTGCTGGTTCTCAGGCAGTGGAACTGGAATGACCCCTAAAACCATCCTCTATTGTGGATGGACACAATCCTGCACCACTTTGAAGTTCCAGAAGAAACCACTGTTTGCTGGTATTTACATGGAAATCCCCAGAAACCATAATTTCTGCACTGGCTCCCAGACATCCCCTTAGCTTTTTCGCCTTTTAGGGTTTAGTGGTAGTTTCCATTTAACCCGCTAAAAGCTACACTTTTAGCGGGGGATCTGAGGGCAGCCCATATATATACATGTATATATATATATATGTGTATGTATCATATTTATATACATTATACATTATATATATATATATATATGTGATCCAGTCTTCCTTGCCCCCCCCCACGCTCCCCCATGGTCATGCTCAGTCAAGAAGGTAATATGTATATACATATATCTATATCTAGTTTTCCTTTGAGGGAACCCCTACTTTTGGGTCATCCTCTCGTCCTCTCGCTGGCCCTTTGGGAAGCCAGGCAGGGCTTCCGCTGGCCCGAAGCCGCAAGCTCCGCGCGCCTCGTGGTGCCCGTGACGCTGGCGGAGGTGGCAGTCACCGGCGGCGCCAAGGCAACACGGGGGGAGGGCTTCCACTGGTTCGTTCTTCCCCTGGAAAACATGTATATATATATATATGTATGTACATACATATATTCAATACTTACGGGTTGAAGAAAAGTGTTTTTTTTCTACTTGCGTTTTTCTTCTTCTCTTTTTCGAGGGTTTTGGTCTCATGGGCTTTGCTAGGGTTTGCTCTAGTGTTTTTTTCCCAGGGTTGTCTTGGGGTTTCAGAGGTTTTCTAGGATGTCCCATTCTTGTCCACCGTTCGCTTCAGATTCCTACCAGTGTTTAGTGACAGCTTTTTGGCCATGGCAAGGCAATTCCCCCCGCCGGATTTTTGCCCGCTGCCTGGGGAAAGGGATCTCCAAAGTTCCAAACGGGAAATGGGTGAGGCAAGCTGGAGGGAAGACGTGCAACCCGCCCCCACAAAGTCTCAGGCGATTTCTCTGGAGTTGGGGTGTGTCAATGCGCGACGCCGCGACGCCGGTGTGCTTTGCTAAGGGACATGTTCCACATGGTGTGCTCGTCAGGTGGTGGTGGACAATGTTACGGACGCCTTGTTAGCGGACAAAGGCAGCAGCTTGACGGTGAAGAACTTCACTGGGGACCCCAATAGGCGCGCTGGAGGGAAGGAAGGGAAGGAAGGAAGGAAGGGAGAGCTCTTGCCTGGGTTATGCCGGTGTTTGTGCTTGTTCCACTTTGGGAGGGAGGAAGGGCTGCGCCAAAAAGCTTGTTTCTGCAAGCCAAGAAAGGAACTTACTCGGCATCAAAGATCAATTGTGCACGATTTCGCGAGTAAACAGCCTGAAAACCTGCGCTGATTATTATAAGGTTGAGTGGCTTTATTTTGTTTAGGGTGAGGCTTGGTGTAGGGTGGGTTTAGGATTGGTTTAGGGTGGCCTTCGGTGTGGGTCTTGGGTCAGCCCCAAACCCATCCTAACCCAACCCTAAATCCACTCTAAACCCACCTACCCACCTAAACCCGCCCCAAAGCCATCCTAAACCAAACCAACCCACCGTAAACCGAACAAACCCTAAACAAAGCCTAAACATACCAATCCCAGCCATGCCCGAGATACTGTTGGACGCTCAGTGTATTTTGTTGATGCCACAGTTTGCAGGCTCTTTGCTGTATGTTTAGAAGCAACATGATGCCCAAAAGTTTTATCTTCGTTTGTGATGCTTAGTAAGTTTGTTCTTGAGATCTAGAAATATGTCTTTGTTGCTCCTTGATATGTTTTTGGGATGCCTCACCCGGTTGGGGCCTGGTTGGATCGTTGGATGCATGTTTGTTGGCTGGTTTTGACATGAGCAGAGCGTCCCTCGGTACTGGGCAAGTCATAACGAATGGGATGAAGGCTCCTTTGATAGGTTTTCCCTTTTGCGTGTGGGAATTGCAGTACTTCGCGCGCAGGTGTCAGGTCTGGCACCGGAGAAAGCCCCGGTTGGATTTTGCGGAGGGCTTTGGAGTTTTCGATTGAACCGGACGGTCGGAGTGAAACCCACCACGTGCTCACTTGTTACCCGTGGCTCTGCATGGAGTGTGACAGACAGGGCTCAAGAGGGCCTTGGACTCAACGGCCATCCTGGCTTTGGGGATATGTTGCCGCGTCGACTAAAGAAGTGGCACCTTTCAGAGGGTTTACTTTGGATGTCAACCTCCAAACATGTTCGAACTCCCGTCTACGGCCCTGGGTTCCTTCGTCTGCCGTTCAGTTGCGCCCTTCCCCTGATTCTTGGATGTTTTAAACTCCAATTTTGAGCCTAACTCATTCCAAGCAAACCGGGAAAACTGGATCTCTTCTGGCTGACAATAATCTTGGGCCGCAGTTGTAGACGCTTTGGCATGGTCAGGACCAACATCTTCATTGCTGCGACTGGAGCGAACATCACGATCTTGGCAGGCATGAATGCGCGAGTTGAGAGTCGGAGTTGAGCGCGCCTTTAAGCGCCTGGCGGTTTTGCGTCTTCACGAATTTAAGAAACCCAGCTCTTAAATTGGTTCCCCAAGAATGCCTTTTTAAGCCTTTAGAGCGTGTTGGCTAACACGCACACTCTCTGATTCTCCATGGACAACGCACATGAGAAGCGCGTGCTTTCTGCCATGGGGGTCTTTTTTAGGGGAACCCCCCAAAATGGTGCTTGAACAGCCGCAAAAAAGGAGGGCGGTACTGTCCTAAGGACTTACACCTTCGACTGGCTCTCGGCGCACTTCGCCCCAGGCCACGTGGGCAAGGCCTTTGTGCAGGTGGGCAAAGGCAGCAGCGTGGTGCTGAATTGTGACATCAACGCCACCATCGAGGCCGAAGCGAGTCCGGAGTTGTTGGCGTGAAATAAATGGGCCAGCTGTAGCTATCCAATCTGCCGGACGGTTCGACTTGGGGAGGCCATGAGGCGCCTGGAAGGTTCCTGCTCCTGGGCTGTTGGGCGTGCTGCTGGGGCTTGTTTTGCACGAGGGTGTGGTGTTTTGTCAGCACAGTTGAATCAGCCAATATTGTTCAATGAACGTCAGGCGGTCAAGACAGATGAGCAGCTCTCCGGATTTTGACATTCTGAGGCCCCAAGGTCTGGTTTATGTGAGAAAATCCTATAGCTTTTTCGCGTTTGGAAATGAAACTCTTCGACAAACCAACGCAGCCATTCGTGATTTGTTCAACAGAACCCGAGCTTTTCCAGCGAAGGGGCGATCTGATTCATCTGCTTCCCGGTTGGGGAATTTGCATCTCAAGGGTGGCGCGTAAAACTTCGGTTGCCCATTGATCTGCCGTTGGTTTTAGCCTGAAGCATTGAAGTATGGGCACCATGAGTGACCAGCACGGTTTCTGAGTGGCTGGCAGTCAGGGTTCCATGGACCATTGGGAACCCTATACCGCCCACCAGTTCCCAAAATGGTCCAAACCTTTTCGCATGGCCCGAGCGTCAGGTTCCATGTTCCACGCGAGGGGAGGGTAGGCCGAAGCGTCTGCCGACTCCGCGAGGCGCACCCAGAGGCGCTGGTCTTTGTGAATTCGGCTTCTTGGCTTTCGCGAAGTGTCTGAAAAACCAGACGCGAGGTGAACGAGCCCAAAGGAGTCTGAAAACTGGGAGTGTGAACATGTTGTATTTAGGAAGAGCAATTATGCTTGTTCTTAAAACAAAAAAAAGGTTGGATGTTGGTGGTGAAGTGGCTTAAGTCAGAAGCCTGCCGTCATTTGGGTTGCATGGGCCATTGTGCCGGATACAAAGGCCCCGAATGCTTTCGGCAAATGATCCCAACATTGAGGGCTGAGCCCCTTGGCTGAGATGTGCCGCCTTTGGGGGCCCCCACAAAGGTTGCCGCGCAGGCGGTAGTTGAGTGTTTTGGGGGTCATCAAAGCCTTGGACCGGTAGCTGCTAAATGGTTTGCGGTGATACTGGTAATCCTAAACATCCAATACACTGCATGTGTTCCGAGTTTGCATTTCGTTGGGTGTCGTTCAACTGGGAAAGGTTGAGAGAACCACCAAAGAGCCTGGCGCCTTCTCCGGCGTTTGCTGCGTCTGCCACGCTGAGACACTGATCTTCGGGAACCTGACTGCTGGGAACCTGTCGAACATGTCGAACCTGACCGCTGGGAACGTGTCGAACATGTCCACCGGGCTTACCACGAAGGAGACCGAGAAAGCAAAGCGCGCTGAGAAGGAGGAAGCTGAGGCGAGCGCAGCCGGGGCCTGAGTGCAGAGCAAAGACCAAGGCGTGTAACGGTTTTCCCCTACAGGGTTTGAAACATCCCCTTCAAAGCGAGGTTTGTCTGCTCTAAGGCGTACTCCTGCCAACACAGGGAGGGTTTGAGGGTTAGGGTTTCTATGGATGAGGGTTTGGTCCACGACCTGGACAACGGATTCACTTGGACTTCCTGAATCGAGATCTGCCCTTTCGGTTTTAAACTTTGGTCCGTTCACTTCGCAAATGGGTTATAAGGCCTGCGGTTACAAGTGATTGAATTGCTGCTTTTTGCAAGAGGCGGCTTAACAACAGTGTTACGCTACCCCAAAGACTTAAACTCAGGTTTGCCTTTGTCGATCCCTCGGCCGGTTCGCTGGCTCAGGATTCCGGTTCTGGCGAACTCATTGGGCTCATTATGAAAGATGGTTTTGAAGCTTGCAATTCGCAGATTGCAGAGTGCCCTTAGCCGGAGTTGGTTTCTAGGCTGCAGAAAAGAGACCGACAAACGGTCACAAAAGCAGGCCACACGGTCATCTGTCATTTTGCGCCACGAACACGGGCCGTCTTCTAACTTTCGTTCCAGGCCAAGTCTCAACTTCGCAGCAATTGCTCGATGACTACATATATGATGATATATATATATATATATTGTACATAAATAAACATAAGCCTACATATGGGCGTGTCTTCTTGTTGGTACCCCTTTTTCGTTGTTTCAAGTTGGAAGCCCAAAGGGCCACCGATGCAAATGTTGGGGCCGCCCAAAAAACGAACGGCACACATTGCGCCAAGTGAAGTGTCGTGATCGGTGAACCTTCCCGGGCCCCTTGGGCCTCGTGCCCGTCGCCTGAGGAATCTGCCCTCGTCTACCCGTAAGCTGCCAGAGCCTCGGCCTAGCTTCGCGCTTCGGCGAGCCGTGGGAGATGTGAGAAGAGAGCAAAACCAAGATGGCCACCGTCTCCTTAGGTTTTTAGTTGTTGGTGTTGAGGGGGGGTTTCCATTTAACCAACAAAAGGTTCAACTTTTAGCGCGGGGAGTGGGGACAGCCCAGTTGCCAGGTGGGTCTTCTACCTGGTTTAACAATGAATAAACCAACTTCTTGACAAGTCTTTCTAGCCATCTTATTAGAACCAAAAGTCAATGAGTTTGGGCGCATGTGGGTTTGGCAAAGGATCAAGGACGTTTCCAGATGCTTACGCACCCAGTACATAAGGGGTGCATATGGTACATTCCTCCAAACCCCCTGCCCTGAAAATGCTCGAAGGAGACATGAGGGTCACCCCCCCACACATCTGTAGGGGCCTTGTCGAAGCTGCACAAAGGGAACATCCCATATATTTGGAAGCCTTCCGTTAGATCGAGCTGTTTGGTTTGTAGGATGCCCTTGTCCTTTACCGGGGGTCAGTAGACCCGACAGACCGACCCATGTCCTTTGTTCCAGAAGTCCAAGAGCACACTGGGCTCAGCAAGCTGTTAAAGACTTAAACTGGATCAAATGAGCTCCATTCAAAACGTCAGGGATGCCCAGAAGACAGGGAATGGGGCGCAAAAGCTCGCAGAAAGCTTGGCGGTTCCATCAACACCGCTCTGAATGTGTTGAATGGACCCCAACATGGCAGAGGGGCGGGTTTGATGGCCATGTTTATTTGGTTGAAGCGCCCAACCCTATTCACAACTAGAATGCAGGAGTTCCGAAGTCCAGAGCCGGGTATAGTTTTCACTGGGGCCAAGCCTAGCCTTTCACCCGCCGCAAAGGGCTGCGACAACTCGTTTTGGCGCAGTCAATCATCAGCTTGTCTTAAAGGGAGAGCTTTGGGTGTGAATCTTCATTGGTCGCACCCTATCCGAAAATCATGGTCAGAAATATGGGCTGTCCGTGAACATCCCACAATGTCGATCCTGAATTAATTCAGCTAGCATGTTATACATGTTACCTCCAAAAGCCCTTCCAAGATGGGGCCCCGCTTTCCTTACAGAAAACCGCATAAGGAGTAGACACCGGCTAGGGGGGTCCCATGTTTGAAGAGGGTCAAACGGTCAGCAGTCAGCACACATTGCTCCCTCTGGGTAAGCGCTGCTCCAGGTTGCGCTGCGTTGCACAGAACTTTTATCTTAGGCCGGGAGTTTCGTGCCGCCAGAACCGTGGGTCTCTTGGTTTTGTAAGGTATTTACAAACATTGACATGCCTGCAAATTGCTTGGCACTCCGTGGAAAGTTGTGGTGATGAGAATGGAGGCTTTCCTTACAGCTTTCTTGTACCGCACCAATCCCCACCCCACAAAAGGTGCAACCCCAAAAAGACAGGCCCCACTCAATTGCTATTTCTGGAGCGTTTAAACATCACCTTTATCACTGAGGCTCCTATTTGGGTGATGTTTAAGTTGTCTGACTCTCTTTCCAAAGAAGAACTCAAAAAGACAAGCCAAGGGAACTGTGCCGTTAAAATAACCAAGTTTAGGCGAGTTTGGTGCATATCAGTCTATGATTGATGTGGAAGAATCCCATGTCCCTTTTGTCATTTCAGATCCCGAGTGTCTGCTCAGCATGAGTCAGGACAGCTGATTTTGACGGGCGCGTTTGGAGTGCTCGTGTCAGTGTATAGTGTCGTTTTTATTTTCCACCTGTACAGTGCTGACTCAGAATTCGCCTTTTGCTTAATGGCCGGCATGTCCTGGTCCAATTGATCTGCCTAGGTGCCGATCGGAAGTGTGGCTGTTCAAGTTGCTTGGAACCCGTGCTAAAAGAGGCGGCGCGCTGGCTTTGGCGAACTCTTCGCGAGTTTTTTGCAGCCACGGCGAACACCAAGCACTTTCATTCGATCCAAACTACCATGCCCAGCGCCGTGCAATACACATTTTGTGGGGTGTGTCGATTCTTGTTGGGCACCTGTTCGATAAACTCCCATATGCAATTATTAGAGTTGATCAAAAGGTCCTTGTAGGGACTTATTCTTAGAGGACCATAGCACTGCAGCGGTTTGTGCCCGCAAAAGATCCGTGAGGAAGTTTGCGGAGGAAAAGACCGAAAGATTTAGCGACATCTTCTTGGATTCATGCTTGTACGCTTGCGTATTTGCAGACCCCCACTTGTACACAGGCACCTTCTTGACTTGCGTCCTTGAATTCCCTCCTGCGCTGGGAATGGTGCAAAGCAAATTGTTGGCTGGGCTAGTTTAAAGTAAATTCCGCGAAAGATCCAGGGAAGACTGGCGAAAGCACGCGGAGCTGCCAGTGCAAGTGAATGGCGTTGTTTCCGGGTTTCCAAGCGCAATAGCAACAATGGCTTCAGAGCGAGCGCATGCTGCAAACAAAAGCGCGTGGCGATGAAGCCGCGAAAGATTCGTGAAAGAGAGTTGTTTCTCTTCTTATGCATGACATGTCGCACTAAACGGGCAAGCTTTCGCCGCCAAGGACCGCTTTCGCCAAGGACCGGCCAACCAGTAAGCTTTGTCTTTGTAGCCGCACAAAAACAAGAGACTACAGCTTGCTAACTCTAGGGCACGGTTGGCGGAAGTTAAAGTCCACTTGCTGTGATACAAAAAAAGACGCCCTGAAAGCGACAAGTCCTCCGGGATGGCCCCGATTCGGTATGACAGAAGCTTGCCTGAAACATGTGGCCATTTTTAGGTCAGCTTGGCTTAGCAACAGATGGGTAACCCAGTTGTTTAGATATGGGTTCTATGATTCATTCATCCGGAAACGCACCTATTTATTTTCCGATGAGTCTGTTTGCACGTGCTAGATTTTGAAGCATCTATTTTGTTCCACCGATCAGAACCCCCGCAACAGTCAAGGATCTCCTTTTGTTTCAAGGGGTTTTTGCACACCTTGGGGTAGTTTGCTGCCGGGAACGAGTCTTTTTTGGGCACCGGTCGGCATGTTGCGCACGCGTTTGGTCTCCCCATAGCAACCAACCCAAAGTTTGAGCCGAGGAGCCCGGGCCTTTGCACCGAGCGGCACGGCGCTGGCCTCGGAGGGGTATTTGGCGCCGTCTTTTGAAGAGGATCCCAAGCCAAAAAGCTGAAAAGAACACCTAAATGCAGCAGGTAGAGACTGTGTTTCTCGTATTTTTTCCTATGGCCAAAGTGGTTATCCTTGTCCTTGTTCGAGCAATTTCTGACGCGATTGTTTAAATGAGACTCCGTTTTTTCACTCCCAACGTGCTTCTTAGGGCCCACAAACAGGTAAAATGGAGGTCAACAAACAGGTTCGGGGTTGAAACAACATGGTCCGCATGGCTTAAACACCCTTTTGTTGGGTTGTTGGGGTACAAGTTTTAGGTACATGCTCAGCCTTGCCCGCAAGGTCCATCCAGATGGCTTGAAGAAGGCTTTGGAGGGTTTTGGAAAATGGTGGGTTTGTATTCCTCGGCCTGGAATACCAAGTGACCTTCCAAGAGAAACACCTGAACTGGCCACGTTGCACTTTTTCCTTGAACCTATCACCCTTGATTGGCAGCCGAGGGAATGCGAAGCACCCTAAGCTTTTCGGACCTGCTTTGCCTTGCCCTTTTAGATGTGCAGGATTGTTCAAGATGATTTCCAGTCAGGAATCGGGGGGATGCTCGGACATGATGCAAGAGGGATCTGGTCAGTCTCCAATTTGGGTTTCCCAAAAAAGGGAAGTGTTCATTTGTTTGCTTCCAAGCAGTACCCAAAGCTTCTATGGGCCATTTTATTGAGACGAGCTTTTTTTTTCGTGCTGGTTTTGCGGGCGCCCTCCCTGAGGCGGTTTTAAACCAGTCCGACCAAACAAGTCGAGCCATGGCCGTAGTGCGAGCGGCTTTTTCGGAACGCCGAGTCCTAAAGTTCCAACCGGAAGCCCTATGGCAATCTTTGCCTTCTGGTATCCCTTTAAAACCGAGAAAAGCAAAACAAACAAAAACGGGGCGCCCACCAGAAGAGGTCACCAAAAAAAGGTAAAACCAACAGAAGCAAGGGGCCCACCAGAAAAGGATGAACCCATGTGGATCCATCTCGGCCGACGAGCCGCTTCGGGGGCCGAAGCGTTCGGCGTTAAGCCTCCGAGGCCAAGCCGGCTGGACGCGGTGTGGGACCGGCCCGGGTATCGCATGCGGCGGTTCAACTTGACGCCGCATCCAGGCGCCGACGGGTTCGCCAGTTTCGGGCGGCCAAGTTTGGCGGGACCTTTTTTTTGAGGAGTTGTTTGAACAGGAAACGGAAGGAGGGGTAGATCTTTCAAGAAGCCAAGAAAGCCACGGGTTGCATTTTCTTGAGGAGTTGTTTGAACAGGAAACGGAAGGAGGGGTAGATCTTCCAAGAAGCCAAGGAAACCATGTCTTGCATTTTTTGAGGAGTTGTTTGAACAGGAACCGGAAGGAGGGGTAGATCTTTCAAGAGCCAAGGAAGCCAAGGGTTGCATTTTTTGAGGAGTTGTTTGAACAGGAAACGGAAGGAGGGGTAGATCTTCCAAGAAGCCAAGGAAACCACGTCTTGCATTTTTTGAGGAGTTGATTGAACAGGAAACGGAAGGAGGGGTAGATCTTTCAAGAAGCAAAGGAAGCCACGGGTCGCATTATTTTGAGGAGTTGTTTGAACAGGAAACGGAAGGAGGGGTAGATCTTTCAAGAAGCAAATGAAGCCACGGGTTGCATTTTTTTGAGGAGTTGTTTGAACAGGAAACGGAAGGAGGGGTAGATCTTCCAAGAAGCCAAGGAAGCTACGTCTTTCATTTTTTGAGGAGTTGATTGAACAGGAAGCGGAAGGAGGGGTAGATCTTTCAAGACGACCAGAAAGCCACGTCTTTCATTTTTTGAGGAGTTGTTTGAACAGGAAGCGGAAGGAGGGGTAGATCTTTCAAGAAGCCAAGGAAGCCACGTCTCCCATTTGTTGAGGAGTTGTTTGAACAGGAAACGGAAGGAGGGGTAGATCTTTCAAGAAGCCCAGGAAGCCGCGTCTTGCATTTTTTGAGGAGTTGTTTGAACAGGAAGCGCAAGGAGGGTTAGATCTTTCAAGAAGCCAAGGAAGCCACGTCTTGCATTTTTGAGGAGTTGTTTGAACAGGAAGCGGAAGGAGGGGTAGATCTTTCAAGAAGCCCAGGAAGCCACGTCTTTCGTTTTTTGAGAAGTTGTTTGAACCAAGAGCCAAGGAAGCCACGTCTTGCATTTTTTGAGGAGTTGTTTGAACAGGAAACGGAAGGAGGGGTAGATCTTTCAAGAGCCCAGGAAGCCGCGTCTTGCATTTTTTTGAGGAGTTGTTTGAACAGGAAACGGAAGGAGGGGTAGATCTTTCAAGAAGCCAAGAAAGCCACGGGTTGCATTTTTTTGAGGAGTTGTTTGAACAGGAAACGGAAGGAGGGGTAGATCTTCCAAGAAGCCAAGGAAACCACGTCTTGCATTTTTTGAGGAGTTGTTTGAACAGGAAACGGAAGGAGGGGTAGATCTTTCAAGAAGCAAAGGAAGCCACGGGTTGCATTTTTTTGCGGAGTTGTTTGAACAGGAAACGGAAGGAGGGGTAGATCTTTCAAGAAGCCAAGGAAGCTACGTCTTTCATTTTTTGAGGAGTTGATTGAACAGGAAGCGGAAGGAGGGGTAGATCTTTCAAGAAGCAAAGGAAGCCACGGGTTGCATTTTTTTGAGGAGTTGTTTGAACAGGAAGCGGAAGGAGGGGTAGATCTTTCAAGAAGCCAAGGAAGCCACGTCTCGCATTTGTTGAGGAGTTGTTTGAACAGGAAACGGAAGGAGGGGTAGATCTTTCAAGACGCCCAGGAAGCCGCGTCTTGCATTTTTTGAGGAGTTGTTTGAACAGGAAGCGCAAGGAGGGTTAGATCTTTCAAGAAGCCAAGGAAGCCACGTCTTGCATTTTTGAGGAGTTGTTTGAACAGGAAGCGGAAGGAGGGGTAGATCTTTCAAGAAGCCCAGGAAGCCGCATCTTGCATTTTTTGAGGAGTTGTTTGAACAGGAAACGGAAGGAGGGGTAGATCTTTCAAGAGCCAAGGAAGCCAAGGGTTGCATTTTTTGAGGAGTTGTTTGAACAGGAAACGGAAGGAGGGGTAGATCTTTCAAGAAGCCAATGAAGCCACGGGTTGCATTTTCTTGAGGAGTTGTTTAAACAGGAAACGGAAGGAGGGGTAGATCTTTCAAGACGCCCACGAAGCCACGGGTTGCAGTTTTTCAACGGTTGTTTGAACAGGAAACGGAAGGAGGGGTAGATCTTCCAAGAAGCCAAGGAATCCACGGGTTGCATTTTTTGAGGAGTTGTTTGAACAGGAAGCGGAAGGAGGGGTAGATCTTTCAAGAAGCCAAGAAAGCCACGGGTTGCATTTTCTTGAGGAGTTGTTTGAACAGGAAACGGAAGGAGGGGTAGATCTTTCAAGAGCCAAGGAAGCCAAGGGTTGCATTTTTTGAGGAGTTCAAAGAAGGAAACGGAAGGAGGGGTAGATCTTCCAAGAATCCAAGGAAGCCACGGGTCGCATTTTTTGAGGAGTTGTTTGAACAGGAAACGGCAGGAGGGGTAGATCTTTCAAGAGCCAAGGAAGCCACGTCTTGCATTTTTTGAGGAGTTGTTTGAACAGGAATCGGAAGGAGCTCCCGGAATTCATTCGTCGACATTTCGTGATTTGAAAGGTCGGGTGGCAGAGAAGGCCGTCTCCGGAGTCGAATCGACTAAGATGACATGGACGTGGTTGCTGCGGCTCTGTTCCCTTTTGGTTGGCTGTCTTCTTTCGGGACGCCAGTAGGAAACCACAGGGCCCCCGAACTACACTTTTTTTTGGGAGGGA